AAAATGGTCACGAGGAAGCAAAAACTTGAGTCTGTATGTTCTCGATTTCATCTGTGTTGATTTACAGGAATTAAAACACAAAGATGACAAGATGAATGGAAATTCTTCCAAATTATTAACACTTCCTGTGAATCTTAGCTAGCTTTACTCTGTGTCTATGATTAATAATCATTCTTAAAATGCACTTGAAGCTTTTCCTAGGATATCAAAGTCCAAAGGAACCACTTCAAAATAAACTCTATACATTATACCTATTCCATGTCTTGAAGGCATTGCTGGCCCTCTTAAACAGATAACCCTCCATGGCGATGCCGTTGTCTGTATCCACATTGTACTCCAGCTTTGTGTCGTCATTCGAGAAATCCTGAAAAATAATAAGGAAGGAAGAGAGGAAAGCAAACAACAACTGAATTAAAACAGGAAAAAACACATTAAATCTTCTGATGCTGGTGAGTTCCTCTTGTTTATCTATATCAGGGTTTATCTGTATAAGTGAGTGAGTGTCACGGCCCCGCTGACCTGACTGACGATTCACGAACCAGGAAAGACAAACAGCAGCCACAGCGTACGAGCACAGGCCAATAATCTATAGCTACCAATGTAATGTAATGTAATGTAATGCTTTAGAAAGAAGCCTAAGTGAAAAAAAAGTGTGTCGAGATATACCGTATTTGTTAACAATTAACAAAAATCCAGCAACAAGGCAAACTAACATTTGTTGTCGGCGTGCAAAAATGTGTGCATATCAGTGGTCCAAGTTCATATTTAAAATACTGCAGACACGTAGAAGTATACAAAGCAATAAACCGTGGTGTTATGAAGCTTTTATTGCGTAGCTTCTTACAGCAGTAGTGACGCACTGCTCTTCAATGTGTAACGCAGGAAAAAAAGCAACCTGTCATGCATCCCATCTCTGATTGACTCTCAGTCTGGCTTTAACCACCAGAGCAGCTGCCACACTCCTAACACCCTCCCAGCTTTCTCAGCTTCAGGTGACACCGGACACCAGAAGCATGCGCGTGCGTGCATGTGTGCGTGCATGTGT